CGATGTGTGCTTGCACCTTGCTCTGAGGCTGAGACACTGTGACTGCCAGGAAAAGACCCAGCATGAGGCCTTGATTGAGACAGAAAGATCACAGTCTTGAACCTCTTCACTAATCAAGGAAACCATCAGTGTATTACAACTTATTTTAAATGGCGAAATGATGATAAAAGTCAAGCTGAGAGAGTGACTCAATGTCAAAAAAGCGTGACCAATGTAGGCATTTATTTAAAAGTGAATTGCCTGCATAATGAGCAGCAGCTTAAAGAGCTGTTTAGTCTCCAGAAGAGAAGGCTGAGATGGGATATGAAAACCATGTGTAACTATCTGAAGGGCTATCAAAAGGAAGAGGGAAAGGGCCTTGTTCTCTGCTGCAGTGGAGACTGGGACTTGATGGAGCCAGGGGTTCGAATCACAGGAAAGGAGATTCCACCTGAACACTAGGAAGAAAGTCTTGACTATAAAGCTGTTCAGCAGTGGAACTCTCTGCTTCAAAGTCCCCTGGCTTTGGAATGCCTTCCCAAGGGAGATCAGGGTACCCTTCAAATTTTCTGCACACAATTAAAGACCTGGCTTTTCTGACAAGCCTTCGACCATGTTTAGATTCTCCAATAATATAAAAGGTAAAGTTTTTCCCTTGACATTAACTCCAGTCATGTTTGACTTTGGGGGTTGCTGCTCATCTCCATTTCGAAGCCGAAAAGCCAGCGTTGTCCATAGACACCTCCAAGGTCTTGTGGCCGGTATGACCACAGGGAGATTTATTTATTTGGATGCTTTTAAACAGAGGCTGGGGGGGGGGGGGGGAATCTATTAATAATAATAATAATAATAATAATAATATCAGTTGAAACATTCACACCTAGCTCCAGCAGAGAAGAGCTCTTTGCCCCACCCCAGCCATTCCACAGATATATAAACCCATTTTCCTAACTCCAACAGACCTCACTACATCTGAGGATGCTTGCCATAGATGCAGGCAAACCGTCAGGAGAAAATGCCTCTAAGAACATGGCCATATAGCCTGAAAAACCCCACAAGAACATAATAATAATAATAATAATAAATCCCACTTTTCTCCCTCACAGGACCCAAAGTGGCTGACAACATATTAAAATCATGTAAACAACAATCCAGATACATCAATAATAAATATAAAACATAACAATTTAAAACAACAATATACATTTACATTTTTGTGGCATTAAGGGAAGTTTGATTGTACTTTTCCTGCCTGGCAAAATAAAGGGGGGCTGCACTGGATGAACTCAGGGGTCCCTTCCAATTCTGTAAATCCTATCCCAGTTATATCCTACCTTGTTCACGTCAGCATTATTTTTAATTTTTAATCTATTACATTTGGCCTGGCCATTGGTTTTAAATGCTTATATGTCACTGTTGATTGGTTATTGCCTTTTTTGTTTATGTGATTTATATGATTTGTATTGTATTGATTGTTTTATTGATGTTTTGTTTATTGATTGTGGACTTGGCCTCATGTAAGCTGCACCGAGTCCCTTGGGGAGATGGTAGCGGTGTACAAATAAAGACTCTGGAGCCATCTAAAGTGTATGCCAATATTTCCTGATGTAGAGTATTGCAAAACTTTTTACACAACTAAAATAATAAATGTTGGGAAGTTTATACTGTCAGAAATATTAAAAATTAAAATTAAATATTAATAATTTAAAAAGCACTGAAAGAGTTAGCATGCGTTAGAATCAGTAAGCAAAAGCTAGTGTTGTCCTGAGGAAAGCGAGTAGGCTGAAGAATGTTAAAAGTTAGTGAGCCAAAGCTAGTGGATTTACAGAGAGGCCACATGACCTTGGAGATGTCTATGGACAACGCTGGCTCTTTGGCTTAGAAATGGAGATGAGCACCACACCCCAGAGTCAGACATGACTGGACTTAATGTCAGGGGACTACCTTTACCTTTTTTTTTTTTTACTAATGCAATACAATATAATACTAGTAATAATAATTCAATATTATAATTATAATTATATATTTATATTACATGTAATATTACTAATAATATTACAATATAATGGTATAGTGCAATATAGTAATATATACTGATATTGTACTATGCTAATAATATAATATATTGTATGAAAATATATATTGTAAGCCGCTCTGAGTCCCCTTCGGGGTGAGAAAGGCGGCATATAAATGCCGTAAATAAATAAATGGTATTACTAGTCTTTGCTATTCTTTGAAATATTTTTTTAAAATAATTTTTATTGAGGGGTTTTTTTTACAGTGGGGAGAATTACAGAGACAGACTTGGAAATAAACAAAGAAAAACTTCTCAACTACCTAATAACTGCAGCCCGTATCTGCTATGCGAGATTTTGGAGAACTAAGGAGATCCCTACACAGGAACAGTGGTTACTTAAGATAGCTGACATGAACATGGACAGATTGACCCACCTGATAAAGGCGAATCAAAAGATGAAGATAACAAGAACAGATTGGTCCCCAGTAAGAAACTACTTAATTCAAAAAAACTATAAATGGATGATAAAAATATAAAAAACAAGCCAAAATACAAAAATACTACAACAAGGTAAGATGCAAGCGGGTCAGCCACCTACTATTTCAATAACCAAACAAAGAGACCAGAAGCCAAAGATGGAGATGACTAGTCTTTGCTTTTCTTGACATAAGAGACACATACCTAGGACTTCCCGGTTTCTCCTTCTGCAGCTCTTATGCGTGTTGCTCATTCTATCTCAGCCCATACTGTGTCCCAGGGGCCATATCATCTTAGAGGCAAGGAATGGGCCATCCTGCAACAACAAAGAGAGGTATGAATGATCCTGCCGACCCAAGTTACCCAAACCCCGCCACCATTCCCCCCAGAAGCACACTCATCCACTTGGGCTTGCCGATTTAATCAAGTTTCAAGCTAACCGTTTAGTTTTGAGAGGTGGAAGGTTCACTGGAATGAACTGGAATGGCTTAGTGACAAGTCTCGTATGGCTTATGGATTCTTATTTTCCTTTCCAATGGTGCTCTTTCATGGTAAATCCATTAGCTTGACTGGCAAAATATGGCTTTTTTGGAGGATTACAGTAGAACTTTAGTTGGAGATCTTCGAGTTTTACTACATTTGCAAGCACATCTTTGGAATTTCCCAGCTGCCCCTGGGTCATAACAACTGGTTCTGCTATTTGCGCCAGAACTCCCCAGACAAAAGACTATATACATAAAGGGGGAAAAAGTGGAAGAAAAGCCAGGCATCTAAACATCAGATTTGCATTACGGCTTGGCTTGACATTAAGTTGGTATAGACTTTGGCCAATTAAGCCATTTCTGATTAGTTTTTTAAAAAAATATAGTACAGGATGCCTTTTACTTTAAAAAAGTATCTTCCTTTGATAAACAATGGGCAAAAAAAAGCCATCCCTCCCAACCATTTAATGAAAAACTGGTCTAAAGTGAGCGGATTTCTTAGGATGACTTTTCAAAGGTTATGTGCCATACACACTTTCATCCAAGACATGGTTAGGTTGAATTTAGAAGGCTATCCAGCACAGTTTTTTCCATTGAGTGCTGCTTTACAATCTAGATAGAACTTCGGTTGTTATGACGGACAGTATTATGGACGGCATTTTTTTTTTTTGGTTTCACGTTTTGACTTAGACTGAAAAACTAGTTTGCTTTTGCTTACCATCTTTGCTGTTTTCACACAGGCATTGGGTGCTTTAAATCTGTGGTGGAATGCTGAAAGTTTTCACTTGTTACTATTGAAGCCATAAGCCTTTCAGAGGCTGGAGAGAGAAAGACTTCTTTGCTTAGCGCTATTTTCTCCATTTTGCCTTTGGGCGTTCAAAGCTGTTCCTTTAAAAATGAGACACTACAGGGTTGCAAAAATTGGAAACAGTAAGAGCAAGTATCGTTTTGTTTGTGCAGCTTCTTTGCATGGACCTGGTCAAACCTCGTACTTACAGAACTCTGTAGCATTCCTGGCTACAGGTTCGACACGTTACTGGGGAGACCGAGGTTGTTGCAAATTCCCAAATGAAACAGGTGAGGTACCATTGTACAGCCATTTGTTGGATATTACAGGGTTGCAAAAATTGGAAACAGTAAGGGCAAGTACCGTTTGTGCAGCTTCTTTGCATGGACCTGGTCAAACCTCGTACTTACAGAACTCTGTAGCATTCCTGGCTACAGGTTCGACATGTTACTGGGGAGACCGAGGTTGTTGCAAATTCCCAAATGAAACAGGTGAAAAGGTACCATTGTATAGCCATTTGTTGGATACTACAGGGTTGCAAAAATTTGAAACAGTAAGGGCAAGTACCGTTTCTGCAGCTTCTTTGCATGGACCTGGTCAAACCTCGTACTTACAGAACTCTGTAGCATTCCTGGCTACAGGTTCAACACGTTATTGGGGAGAGCGAGGTTGTTGCAAATTCCCAAATGAAACAGGTGGAAAGGTACCATGTACAGCCAGCAATTATCCATTTGTTGGATACTACAGGGTTGCAAAAATTGGAAACAGTAAGGGTAAGTACCGTTTGTGCAGCTTCTTTGCATGGACCCTATCAAACCTCGTACTTACATAACTCTGTAGCATTTCTGGCTACAGGTTCGACACGTTACTGGGGTGCTGAGGTTGTTGCAAATTCCCAAATGAAAGAGGTAGAAAGGTACCATGTACATTCAGCAATTATCCATTTGTCGTTCTGATTAAATGACTGAATGGTATCTTGATTTTTTTTTTTTTAAAACACACAAGACTGGTAAAATTTGTGTTAACTAGGAGAACTGTGTGCACTTCAGGATTACAAGAGCACATTTAAACCTTTTCTGAGTTTGGCACACATCCCCAAAACACCACCCTCCATTAACTAAACATGGTTTTGGCCTCGAAAGAAGGCACTTTTCTCATGAGTAGAGTGATCCATGGCCATTTTAGATGGCTCTGCGTCGTATGGGGAGGAGGCTTTTAGGGCTTTGCCGGTCTCATTGATGAGGTGAGAAGCGTGGCATTTTTCAGGGTTAACGTTTTACTCGGAAAAAGGTTACAACACTAGTAGGTACACAGGCTAAAAAGGTCATACATTAACATTGGCTTATTAACAATTTTGAAATGAAATTAAAACATGTTTACGTTTTCCTCACCAAAAAAAAATACCGATCAGTAATGGAAGGGAACTTTTAACAAGCAACAATAAAAAAGGAGTAAAAACAATGCGTCGGTAGTCCTCTTGGGAGTGAAGGTAAAACTTCCACGCTCGTTTTTTGTTGAAGGAACAAAAAAAAAATGATATATGACTGATTTGGTCCAAAGTTTTGTTGCCGGGGTTCCTTTCAGTATCGGCTTCGGCCCCCGCCCCTGTCGGAGCGGCTCCCTCCGCGGCCTCCGCCCCTGGGGCCCCCACGGCTGGAGTTGCTGTAGGAATCGCGGGGAGGTGGGTAGCCCCTTTCCATGGAGGGGGGCAGGCCTCGGTCTTGCCTCCCGACCCGGTCACGGCCGCTTGAGTAGACATCGCTCCTGCTGCTTGAGTAACTGTCCCGGCTCCCGCCGTACCCATCTCGGGCGCTCCCGTAATCATCATAGCGACTGCTTCCACCATAAGATGGCGGGGGGCCTCGTGCAGGTGGAGCACTACGTGAGTTACCTGCAGGTTCAATGGTCAGGTAATAGGGCAACACTATAAATCATATCACCACAATTCTCTTTTTTTACATCTGTGTTTTTTTTAAAGTACTGAATCAATGGCTTCTCTGTTAACTCTTTTTTGTTCTAAGATTTTAAATATTATATCTCACATCTTGGGGGCATTTGGGAGTATCAGGCAGTGAACGAAACAAATAAGCTGTTTGAAGACGCTGGTTTGTTTGCTTTTTCTCAAGGCAGCAGCTCTTTTTGGGGTTTATTCCAGAACAGCTTGCTATTTTACAGAAGAAATTCAGCCATTTTTTTCCAGTGATAGATGCAATTCAGAATGGTTGAACTTTTTTGCTTCCTTAGGTTATAGGAACTGTAATTCAATCGTTTTGTTAAAAAAAATAAGGTAACAATGTTTTCTCACTGCAGTGGGCAAGCCCAGCATACTATTCCCCCCTTTAAATAAAAGCAGTCTAGCAAGTGAAACATGAGAGATACTTGCTTATATTCTCTAAAGCCCACAAAATAACCACTTACCATAACTCTCATAAGAATCTCGGTAAGAGCCTCCGCTCGGGTGATCCGAGTAATCTCGATCACGGCCTCCATAGCCATCCCGATCATTGTAAGAGGAGTAGCTGCTGGGATTTAAATATTAGATCAAGACTGATTTTTAAGGCCATCTTTTCTTTAGAGAAGAAACTAACAAAACCGTCCCTAAGAAAACACTATGAATTTCATGGAGTCAGATGGACAGCTAGAACGTTCACACACGCCAAGGCGTTCTTCCGAAAAATGATGTGGCTCCCTTCCAGATAGATTAAGGGTTAAATTGTTCCTCTGTCCCACTGTACTCCAGGTTTTTTTTGTTTTGTTTATTTTTATACCCCGCCAACCATCTCTCTTACAATTAAAACACATGTAAAACACTTCAACTAATTTTTTTTTTTTGGTCGTGTCAGGAGCGACTTGAGAAACTGCAAGTCGCTTCTGGTGTGAGAGAATTGGCCGTCTGCAAGAACGTTGTCCAGGGGATGCCCGGATGATTTGATGTTTATCATCATCCTTGGGAAGCTTCTCTCATGTCCCTGCATGAGGAGCTGGAGCTGATAGAGGGAGCTCATCCGCCTCTACCCAGATTCGAACCTGCGGTCTTCAGTCCTGCCAGCACAGGGGTTTAACCCACTGCGCCACTGTGGGCTCCTGTAGCATCGCCTAAATCAGTAGTTCTCAACCGGTAGGTCCCTAGGTTTTTTGGCCTATAACCGCCAGAAATTTCAGCCAGTTTATCAGTTTGTTTTTTTTTTTTGTCATGTCAGGAGCAACTGCTCCTGTTGTGAGAGAATTGGCCGTCTGCAAGGACGGTGCCCAGGGGACGCCCGGATGATTTTTGATAGTTTTCTCATCCTTGTGGGAGGCTTCTCTCATGTCCCCGCATGAGGAGCTGGAGCTGATAGAGGGAGCTCATCCGCCTCTCCCCGGATTCGAACCTGCAACCTGTCCTGCCGGCACAAGAAACAATCAGGTCCAGGTAATCACCTCCCAACAAAGGATCCCCCCAGGCAGGAAGCAGCCACACCATGAAACTGCCAGGCCATTACATGCTAATCGAAGTGGTCAATTCAAACATTCACACCTACTTCTAACAGACAAGAGTTCTTCCTCCCACCCTGGACATTCCAGATATATAAAACCAATTTTCCAAGTTTCAAACAAACCTCACAACCTCTGAGGTTGCCTGCCATAGATGCTGGCAAAATATCAAAAGAAAATGCTTCTGGAACATGGCCATACAGCCCAGAAAACTCACAGCACCCCAGTTTACCAGCTGTTAGGATTTCTGGGAGTTGGAAGGCCAAAACAGCTGGGGACCCACAGGCTGAAAACCACTGGTCTAAATACATGTGCTATATTGTACCTGTATATTTATTTGTGCCCCAATTTCTTTATAAATACTGCTAAGCTCCTTTGTCAAGCATAATGTACATAAACAGTGAATTCATAAACACACAGTAACAAATGTATCCTCACTGAAATATGCCCTATATCTTTCAGACGATTGGACTTGTGACATTTCATCGAAGATGTTTTCTAACATGAACCACCATGAAAGGCAATAAAGATTAAGTGGAGCTCCCCTCATTCCATAACTTGATGTCCAACTGCCAATGCAGTTATATTACTTTAATTGTTTTCTGATTAATATAGTAATTATAACAACAATGCTTTGACTCTTTATGCTTATACTCGAGTACATATAGCAGTTAAAATATATCACAATTATCTATCTACCTCTCTCTCATGTATCTGTATTTCTATTTTTCAAGGTATCTCCAGGGAGCACTGTGACTCCTGCCAATGATGGATCTGGACCAAACCACCTTAGACTCAAGTTGGGGTTTGGGGGCAACGAAAGATGATAATGGGAGTTATAGTTTATCCATATGCGAAGAGCACTGTGAACCCCACCAATAGTGGATTTGGAGCAAACCTGGCACAGAAAACCACCATGACCAATGTTCAGTACAGGTATGGTTTGGGGAGCAATGGTAGAGGATGATGGCAGTTATAGTTTACCCATATGCAAAGAGCAATGTGAACCCCACCAGTGATGGATTTGGACCAAACCTGGCACAGAAAACCATGACCAATGTTAAGTACAGGCATGGTTTGTTTTGTTTTTTTTTGGGGGGGGGGTAGTATTTTTTACTTGATGTTACGGTCTGTTTTGTATGTACTTTATTTTATTTTACCTTTTTGTAATTGCTTGGGCATGGCCCCATGGTAGCCACCCTGAATCCCTTTGGGGAGATGGTGGTGGGGTACAAAAAAAATTATTGTTGTTGTTATGGGAGTTACAGTTCACCCATGTGGCAAGTGCACTGCGATCAATCAAAGATGGATCTGGACCAAACTTGGCACACAGATACAACACGACCAACTTTAAATACTGGTGGGGTTTGGTGGCAATGACGAATGATGATGGGCATTGTAGTTTACCCACATCCTTATTGATTTTCATAAAATCCAATAATGAAGTGACTTTTTCTAATACACCTTATTCAGACATTGCGGGGTACCCAAGCTAGTACTAAAACATTCCATAAAAGCACATATTAAAACATACATACATGAAACAAATATTAAAACACATGTAAATAAACTTTGATATGATTGAGTGCCAGCGTGCATACATGATCTTTCCTATATTAATTTATTCCCACAACATGTTATCTCATCTTTTTTAAAAAGAAAAAAGAAAACTCTACCAAAATCTATTAAATACAATTTTATAGCTACATGACTTCTCTACGTTATCCAGTCTTACTTAAATATCAACCAATCACAGATCAGTTACTGGCATCACTTTTTTTTTGGTTCCATCTCATTATTAGCAACTAAGCTGTACCCGCCACGCGTTGCTGTGGCCAACCTTCCTTCCCTCTTTCCCTTTCCTTAATTCTCTTCTTTCTTCCATCTCTGTTTCTTTCCTCCCTTTCTCTGCTCTTTGGTTACATCCTTCCTTCTCTTCTTCCTTCCCTCCCTATCTTTCGTTCCTTCTCTCCTTCTTTCACTCTCTCCTTTCACTTTATCTCCTTCTCTCCTTCCTTGCTTCTCTACCTTTCTTTCTTTCTTTCCCTCCATACTTCTCTGCTTCCTTCCTTTCCCCTTCTTGGCTGTCCCATTTAATATTGTATTTATATCTTACAAAGAAAGAAGGAAAGAAAGGAGGAAGGAAGGAAGGAAAAAGGGAGGGAGGGAGAGAGAGAAGGAATGAAAAGAAAGGAGGGACAGGAAAGAAGGAAGGGAGGGAAGAGAAGGAGAATGAAGGAGAAGGGAGGGAAAGGAAAGAGGGGGATGAAAAAAGGAGGGAGGGAAGGAAATGAAAGGGACAAAAATAAAGAAAGGGAAAAAAGGAGGAAAGGGAGGGAGGGAGGAGGGGAAAGAAGGAAGGAGGGACAGGAAGGAAGGGAAGGAGGGAAAGGGAGGAAGGAAGGAGAGGGAGGAAAGAAGGGAAGGGAGTGAGGGAGAGAAGGAAGGTCCTTCACTCAAGCACCATCGACCTTCCTCGCCTTCTCCTCCCCTTCTTCCTTGCCTGGGGGCTCCACTGCTGCTGCCGTCCCTTCCTCTTCCAAAAGGGAAAGGAGGAGGAGGAGACTGCCCTCCTGACATTGCAGGGAAAGAGAAGGGGCTCCATGCGGCAAGCCTCCACCTCCACGGTGCTTGTGTGTGTGGCCGTGCATGCATGCCTGGCTCCTCATACTTTAAAGGCCGGCTGTTTCCCTGCGAGGAGGGGGCATGGCCATGGGTCTCTTTGTAGACCTACAGTTTAGAAGTCCTTTTTGCTTTTTGTTTTCGTTAATTTTTTTTGAGTGAAGGACATACATTGGTCTGAGAGGTGTATCATGTCCAAATTTGGTGTCAATTCCCCCAGTAGTTTTTGATTTCTGTTAATCCCACAAACGAACATTACATTTTTATTTATATAGATGTATTTAAAAGAACACAAAGGTCCAGATACCTGTAACCTCTTGAGGGATACTCATCGCGAGAACTGGAGTGGCCGTAATCACGGTAGGCATAATCCCTTGGGGGTGGAGCATAATCACGGGTGTCCCTGGAATTCGGGTAGTCTCGACTCGAATAACTAAGGAGGTAAAGATGACATTACTTTGAATACTCAAAAGCACAGTGACAGAAAATTCAAGAATATCGCAGGTTCTCAATCAGATAACCTTCAACAGGATCAGAGCATACCTGTCTTTAGTACTATAGCCATCATCTCTAGGAGACAAGTAGACATCCCTTCGTGATGGAAGCGGCTCTCTGCGTGGAGGTCCGTAACTGTCTCTGCCACGTGACAGGGGCGCTGAAGATGAGCACAAAATGAAAAAAAATGTGAAACCAATGTGTTTTACCAAGCTACAAAAACACAGTGGACCAATACATTGCATGACAGAGGGAAAGTAATACATCTGCTATATCAGCAAGTTGATGAAGCAGAAAGGCTAATCAAAGGGAGATAAAAATCACTGCAAATGAAAGAGACATATTGGATAGGGACTACTTTGTTCATGTTCTGTGACAAAGGACTTGTTTAACTGTGAATAAGCATGTGATTTTTTTTCATGGCATAGTGTGTGGGGCAGTGGTTCTCAACCTTCGTAATGTTGCGACTCCTTAATACAATTCCTCATCTTGTGGTGACCCCCCAACTATAACATTATTTTTGTTGCTACTTCATAAATGTAATTTTGCTACTGTTATGAATTGTAACGTATATCTGATATACAGGATGTATGAGGGTGGGTCAAAACGTTTTGCCTCCTGTATCATAAAAACATTTGAAATGAGCATAGAACAGCAGAAATTGCTACAGATCATAGCCTGAACTATCTTCTACACCAGTGGTTCTCAACCTTCCTAATGCCGCAACCCCTTAATAGAGTTCCTCATGTTGTGGTCACCCCCAACCATAAAATTATTTTCCTTGCTACTTCATAACTGTAATTTTGCTAGTGTTATGGATTTATTTATTTATTTACTGTATTTGTATACCGCTCTTCTCAGCCCTCAGGGCAACTCAGAGCGGTTCACAATAGCAAATACAATAGTTAAACATGATCAAGACAGTTAAGAACAATTTAAAAGAATAACATTGTAACAATCAATAAACATCATAACATCTTTTGTGATGTAAATATCTGATATTCAGGATGTATCTTCATTCACTGGACCAAACTTTGCACAAATACCCGAAAAGCCCATATTTGAATACTGGTGGGTTTGGGGAGGGTGGTGTTGATTTTGTCATTTGGGAGTTGTAGTTTATCGTTCACTTACAACCAAAGAGCATTCTGAAGTCCACCAACGATAGAATTGAGCCGAACTTGGCACACTGAACTCCCATGACCAACAGAAAATACTGGAAGGGTTTGGTGAGTATTGACCTTGAAGGTGGTTTGCCTAAATCCAGAGAGCACTGTGGACTCAAACATTGATGGATCTGGACCAAACTTGGCATGAATACCGAGTATGCCCAAACATGAAAACTGGTGGAGTTTGGGGAAAATAGACCTTGACATATGGGAGTTGTACTAGTTGCTGGGATTTATAGTTCACCTTCAATCAAAGAGCGCTCTGAATCACACCGATAGAATTGGGCCAAACATCCCACACAGTACCCCCCCCCCCATAACTGACTGAAAATACTGGAGGGACTAGGGATGAACTAACAGTGATTTAGGGGAGATGTACACCTATATCTAGAGAACCCAAACGACTATGTCAAAGGGATTCTTAAGACCATCAGAAATATGTTTTTTCTAATGGTCTTTGACAACCCCTCTGAAACCCTCTTCTGACCCCCCCCCCCCCGGGTCCCGACCCTCAGGTTGCACAAAACTACAGTTCAAAATAGTCACCATCAATTTGTACACATTTGCACCATCATTTAACCCAGGCATCAAACCCATTCGGGAAAAATTCAGAGTTTTGATTTGTTACCCAGGATTTCAAACCTGGATTAACGTCATTCAATGTCAGACTACACAGAGAAGCCAAAGATCCTCTGAAAGACAACCAACATGGTTCCAGATTCAACAACTTGAAAGATTTAAAGGAAGAGAAGAGATCGCCAGCCTTCTCTGCCAAAGGGGTTCCTAAGACCATCATAAATATGTATTTTCTGATAGTCTTTGGCAACTCCTCTGAAGTCCCCCTTGTGACCCCCAGGCTGAGAAATGATTGTGTGGGGAGTGTGGTTTACTGGCAAGATTATGCAACAGCACCAAGGACTTGGGAATCTTTGGGTCTTTTAATTATCACATGCATTTGTGAGGTCTGTCCTGTCAATTCTGAGGAGAAAAGGATTCCCCCACCTTAATATAATGCTCTTGAAAGCAATGTTTCACTGTACAAAACTGAGAAGTCAGGAGTAGCAGAATCAGAGGCAACTACAAGCACTCAGAACTTGTGCACTTCTGCTACAGACAAACTGAAGAAGTAGCTGAGCTCTTCTTACTTAGCTTACACATTGAGAAGCCCTTGGGTATCAAGTGCTTGAGGAAAAAACCTTACCTCTGCCACCCATTCCACTGCTGCTACGCACAGGCCCTGAAGGAGTGGGTCTTTTAGGTGGTGGGCCTCCACTGCGGGGCGGTGGGCCTCTCTTCATGGGCAGAGGGCCTCTAGAGGAACCTAGGACAATGGCAATTCATAGGTCAGACTTCCAGTGCTATAACAACTTCAGCAAGCAAAGTGTCATGTAAAGGCACTCAAACAGAATTGAGAAGCACATTTGTTTAATATAAGGTTGCAGAGATCCAAAGAAAAATGACAAATGACTGAGAGGTAATTACTTGTAACAGTTTGCTGCATTTACAATTAAAATGTCTACAGAACATCTTTTAGCACAAAGGAGGCTTGTTTTTAAACTCTTCTCTTGTTCTTTGTTCGATTGGCTTTTTCTCATGTAAAACATAATGTGCTGATCACAATGTCTTACATAACTAATCCAAAACGACCCATTATTATTCTAGTCGAAACCCCAAAATCCAAGCAAGCAACAGACTATATACGCCTTCCGAACTAGCTCCTCTCCATGTGTTTGGAGCTTCAACCTCCACTAGACTAACTAACAAGAAAACTAATTCAGCCTGTTGAAAGATAAAAGAAAAATATTCCACTTTGGCTGCTCAATATTCCAAAGCTGTTTACTAATATGGATTTAAAGTGGTTAATTTTAAGTGGATATTCTGTGAACGTTCCAAGAAATATACTGTATATACTCGAGTATAAGCCGACCCAAATATAAGCCGAGGCGCTAATCTTAACTGGGAAAAACATATTGACTCGAGTATAAGCTGAGGGTGGGAAATGCATCCACTATGGATCAATTTCAAAATAAAAATTGATACCAATAAAATTACATTAATTGAGGCATCAATAGGCTAAATGTTTCTGAATATTTACATAAAACTGTAAGATAAGACTGTCCAACTCTTATTAAACCATTATTCTAACCTCCTTCAATGTAAATGTAGTTATTATTAAAATAATAAATATAATAAAAATAATATAAAATAATGAAAGTGCAATAAAAACGGTAATAGAGCAAAATAATAAATGTAGTAATAGGGTAAAATACTATAAATGTAAATATAATAGAGCAAAATAATAGAATAATAGAGCAAAATAATGTAAATATAATAGAGTAAAATAATAAATGTAATAAAATAATACTAATAACGGAGTAAAAGAATAAATATCCTTGACTCAAGTATAAGCCGAGGGGAGCTTTTTCAGCCTAAAAAAGGGGCTGAAAAACTAGGCTTATACTCGAGTATATACAGTAAACAGTTTAGAACTTGTGTACCCAAGAGTTGCAGGATTTCAACGTAAGAAACCGCAATTTGCCTGATCAAAAGAGGCCAAATGAGGAAGCAAATACTTTATCAGTTCTTTGTGTTGTTTAAGGAAGGCTGCAAAGTCTCCACACTCTTTAGCCAGATACAAGAGCTCAGTTAATGCAAGTACAGTTTTTACTCTTTTATTTGTTTATTTATTTGCTATACTTGTATACCGCTGTTTCTCAGCCTAGCCGGCGACTCAACGCGGTTTACAACAAAATACAACAATCAACAGTATACAATTTAAAACCATAAAAGCATAATACACAATATTCGCACATCAATAACAATCCAATGCATCTCATGACTAAAATCGTGATCCAGTTTCGTCGTCCATATTACCAATCCTTTAATCATTACATTCATTGCATCGAATTAACCAAATGCCTGTTCGAACATCCAGGTTTTTAATCTTCTACGGAACACCATCAGCGAGGGGGCTGATCTTACCTCCATGGGAAGGGCGTTCCATAGCCGAAGGAGATACAAACAGCAATCACCCCTCAAGTTCCCCCCCCCCCCCCCATAAGAACTGAACATTTGTATTGTGCCTTGTGCTCACCACCTCCATATGCTGCCCATGAGAATACAAACATACCCAAGTGACTCCCTCTGGAAGGAGGCCCCCGTGTTCCACTTCCGCCTCTTCCACCTCTAAGACCTCTTGGAGGACCTCTGCTCCTTGGAGGGGGTAAGGGCCCTCGTCTACCGGTTTCAAAGGTTGGCTTGGTAGCTTGTTCAACTTTAATAGCTTTTCCATCTAAAGACTGAACAAAGGAAATGCCTACATTCAGGATAGAGGCTCTCTAAAACCAGGTTTTCTAAGGCAGTTGTATTTTCTATCATGAAGTATGAAAATTGGTGTGACTCCTTGTAGAACAAACTGAACAACCAGCACTGGGACATTTTCAAAATGATACAGGCTAAAAGGGTCTGTAAGACAACTACTGTGAGACAATTCACAACTCTGTTTGCTCTTTCAGCCTCCTTTGTGAAATTCCTCATTGATTTTCATTCAAATCTTTTTCTGAACTACCTTTTCTGCACTAATATTAGCAGATGTTTTTGATTGGATGACTGCTTACTTTGAAAATTAAAATTGAAGCCTTGGACAGATATAGTAGTAAGTGGCAAAATATGTATCTGATGGTATTTCTCAAGACTTTAAGTAATAGCAGCCACAAGTATTTTTTAAGGCTAGGAATAAGGGATCAACCTGTTGTAGTAGAGCCTGTGAGTAACGTTTCAGACAGTAGTGTGGGTGCCAGAAGGGGAAACAGGGTTACTTGGGAGCAGGAATCTGATGAGCAGCAGAGAAAGAGGATCCGGGACATACTTGCAGCACCTACAGATAAGGAGTCATTTGAGGGATTCTCTGAGGAAGATGGGTCAATGAGTGAAGGAGAAGGAGACACCATGGATAGGACTAAGATAAGTGAAGTGCAAGCTATTTTTGAGGAGCCAACAACTAGCGATACCTTTATGGGGTTCTCTGGGGGTGAAGACTGGCAATCAGGGGATCCAACTGAGTCTTGGGGGGACCTAAGTCTTGACAGGAGATGGAGGAATTGGGAGGGAAACTCAAGGGAATTCACGTGATGAGCTGGGAGCAGCTGCGGGGGATTAGTGTGGGGTGGTCGTCACTTCATCTTCTGATGATGCTTTGTAGATAAAAGTGGGTTCAGGGGTGAGAGGTCTTTGCAGAAGGCAAGGTGTTGATGTGCGTTCGTGTGCTGTGTATTGGGAAAGATTCTTGTAGACTTGCTACTGCCTGTTTTGTGTTCAGCATTGGATTCGGATCTGCAGTTTGGACCTCCTGATCGTTTGTGTTTTTGACCCGGACTGGCTTCTCATGACTGTGGACTTCTCCCTACCTGGACTGGTTTGGCTAAGGACGCTGCTTCCGTGGAAACTGGAGCAACGCTGTTTTGGATTTCTCCCGCTTTGACCCTGGACTTCGGCTGACGACACTTCTCTTCCTGCAGATCCTCTTGTTAACCATTTGTGTACTGTGTCTTTTTGTTTTGTTTGATTTGTTGCTCTATACATCCAGTTAATCTGGATTATATTTCTGTTAACCTTTTTGGACCAGGTCTGGTTTGTTTCTTGAGTTTTGACGAGTGGCACTGCGTCCCTTTCCTTTTGTTTTAATAAACTCTGTTTTGAAGCCACTTTTGAGTCTGGCCCTTTAAGGCGTCTGTGATTCCAGAATGCCACCTAAGGTCTACCAACTCCAATGGTTTTTCTGTACAAAAAAAGCTATACTTCTAGTTTAGCAACATTTCAGAGAATACCACCACTATCGTATTTAAACGCCTTCCAGATTACATTACCTTCCAATGATTTTTACTTTGGAAAAACAGGCAAGATTATCAGATACTGGATAAACATACATTGTGTAATAATAAATCACCAAGTTTTCCTTATTGATGGAATAAAAACAACACTGGAGCAGAAGCCCAGAAGCCAAGCTCAGCTTCACAAGCTGCAATAAACAGAGTTCAACACATCAGTCTTCCTACCTTTCCATTCATATCTCTGGCAGCATCCTTGGCATCTACTGGGCTCTCAAAGGTGACAAAAGCAAAGCCTCTTGACTTGTTGGTTTCACGATCTTTCATGAGGAGAACTGAAAAGAGAAAGAAGTGTCAGTAAATTCCTAACCCATGGTGGCTCAACCCAGCTTTCACAAAGACCTGCTCAGAACTTCTTAGAGGACACATGAGCCCTATCACTTCAGCTGATCAAGGCTGTTACATTCATCACAGCAGACCCAAAAAGCACACTTCATTTTAAGATACTTTAAGCTTACCTTCCACTATGCGACCATATTTGCCAAAGACAGCTTCAAGAGCCTTCTCATTTGTCTCTGTGTTTAGGCCACCAATGAACAGCTTCCCTGGACGATCTGCTTCAACCATTTTGACAATGTTTGGGATCTAAAACACAGATTTTAACTCAAATCAGTGGAGGAAGTGGAAACATTTCCATACTAGCCACATACTTTTGAGATTTTACACTTGAAATACCCTGTCCTGATGCGATAACACCAACACTACCCAAGTTTGTTCTATCCAACAACACTAAGGCACCCTTCTTTGTTGCAAAAAAGATGCTGCAAGAACAAAGCTCCTAAGAATGATTGTCGATTGCTTCCCTGCCAATTGAGAGACAATGGAAATAAAAAAGTATTTCAGGATCAATAATAATACCTAGTCCAAGTAAACTGAAAAAGGTAAGTATCATGAGGAATAATTTTTCAGGGAGAATGATGTCTTTTCTACTCAAAGTACTTCAACACACTAGAGAATGGATCCACTTCAAATCCAGTGTCTGCCTTCTGCAGGATTCTGGGGTTTGTAATTTAGTGAGGCTGTTAAAAGCTCCTCCCTAAACTACAAAACCCAGAATTCTGCAGGAGGCAGCAATCAGATTTAAAGTGGATTAATTCTCTAGTGTGATGAGGTCCAAAGTCTCAAATGAGAGAAACATTCAATAAAGTGGAATGTTAAGATAGGTAGCTGCCCGCTTCCCATAGGGAGGACCTAGTCCCACCCCCTGGATTTTCAGCTTCAACTCCTTAAAGTAGAGGAAGAAACTGAAGCCACCGAGTTGTGATGTTTAATTAAGAAGCCATGCATTGTAGCTCATAAAACCAAGCTCTCTACAAGACAAAACCATCAAAGCCCCATATCCCCCATGTTTTGATCACTCAGAAACATCCCGACCTATCTTACAAGCCCATTACAGATATAAATTAAAAACCAAATTGAAACTATAATTATTCACATCCCCGCAGAAACAGGAACTCAAAGCAGCTGTTTTACAAACCAGTACAATTAAAGCCAGACACAAACTAAACATTTACAAGAGGACTTACAGTATTAAAGGAATTCATTTCCAAGTAAAAGATTAAAATGCAATTAATAAAAAGAATAAAGAGGTCATACGCAGTTCAGTTAAATGATACAACTTATAATTGTTTTATCTAATTTATTATATTATTATATAATTTATTATATAATCAATTATTTATTTTATTATTTTAGGTGATTGAATACAGGATCCTAGTCTGTTCTTTAAAAAACCCTGGTGGGCAATACTCAAAAGATCTTGGCGCATCCATATCTGTGTACATGCACCTTCAGTTCTCCCCTCTCCCAATATTTTAATTATTTTTAAAAACAACAAAGGAAAAACAGTATTTATGCATGCAATCATGGGCATACTTAAATTACATAATAAAGTAGACAACATGTATCTCTATTCAAATTACAACTAAAATTTGATTTAAAACAGAATTTTCTGTTTCCTTTTAATCAGTGTCTCTATAAATTAACTTTTTTCATCCATCTTATAGCCAAGAAGTTGCTTATTTCTGGTTTTAACCAACACATGAATGCTCCAACAATTTATATTCCTAAACAATGAATTTTTACTTTAAATTTGTGTTTTAATTTTGGCTCTGTGTATTGGAATACATGTGTTTTAATTGTATTATGTTTCATCTGTGTTGTAACCCACCTTGAATTGTGTGGATATTTTGTATCACATTTATTATTTGAATTGTGTGGATATTTTACACATTTATTATTTAAAGATTTTTTTGAAAAAATTAATTTTTATATATTATTTTAATAATTTTTGAATATATCATTTAATGCTCAATTTATTATTTTTAAATTTAATTTTTTATTTTGTTTTACTTAATTCTTGATTTTCTATTAATTCTTTAATTTATTATTGAATACTTAATTTATTATTTTAATTTTCATCATTTTGTTTTAATAATTTTTGAATTTATTATTTAACGATTAATTTATTTTTAAATTTAAATTTAATTCATTATTTTAATTAATTCTTGATTTACTATTTATTTTTAAATTTAAATTTTGTTATGATTAATTATTTGATTATATTATTATACAACTTGTAATTGTTTTATATAACCAATTCTTTATTATTTAATATTAATGTATAATTTTTCATTGTTATTTTATTATGATTTTGTTCTATTAATTCTTGAATTTATTATTGAATACTTAATTTATTATGTTGTTTTAATAATTTTTGAATTTATTATTTAATGATTAATTTATTTTTAAATTTAATGTTTATTCATTATTTTAATTTATTCTTGATTTACTATTTATTGTTTTTAAAATTTATTTATTTTGTTATGATTATTTGATTATGTTATTATACAACTTGTAATTGTTTTATCCAATTTATTATATAACCAATTCCTTATTATTTAATATTAATGTATAATTTTAATTGTTATTTTATTATGATTTTGTTGTATTAATTCTTGAATTTATTATTTTAAAATTTTATTTATCAGTTTGTTTTAATTAATTCTTGATTTACTATTTATTATTTTTAAATTTTATTTATTTTATTATTATTTAATTATACAACTTATAATTGTTTTATCTCATTTATTATAGAATCAATTCTTTATTATTTAATATTAATGTATAATTTTTCATTGTTATTTTATTATGATTTTGTTCTATTAATTCTTGAATTTATTATTGAACACTTAATTTATTATTTTTAATTTTTATCATCTTGTTTTAATAATTTTTAAATTTATTATTTAATGATTAATTTATTTTTAAATTTAAAATTTATTCATTATTTTAATTAATTCTTGATTTAATATTTATTATTTTTAAATTTTATTTATTTTGTTATTATGATTAATTATTTGATTATACAACTTATAACTGTTTTATCTCATTTATTATATAACCAATTCTTTATTGTTTAATATTAATGCATGCTTTTTCATTGTTATTTTATTATGATTTTGTTCTATTAATTCTTGAATTTATTATTGAACACTTAATTTCTTATTTTTAATTTTCATTATTTTGCTTTAATAATTTTTGAATTATTTAATTCAATAATTTAATATAATAATTTTTGAATTATTTAATGGGTAATTTATTTTGTTATTATGGTTTATTAATTATTTAATTATACAACTTATAACTGTTTTATCTAATTCATATTTATTATTTTAAAATTTAAATTTTATTATTTTGTTTTAATTAATTCTTGATATACTATTATTTTTAAATTTTATTTATTTTGTTATTATTATGGTTTATGAATTATTTGATTATTTTATTTTACAACTTATAATTATTATATAATTTAATATATAATCAATTACTTATTGTATTATTAGCTGATTGAGGCCTACCCAATAGCCAGCGCCAAGCCATAACGTGAGCAATCACATGCGCATGCGTGGCTTGAACAAGCGGAAAGCCCAAAACGGCCGGTTGGCTGGCTGGCGCATGCGCAGGCCGCCCCTCTCCTTCGAGAGCCTGTAAAAACTGCCACAAAATGGCGGCTCCTTGAGGCACCGTCTGGAGAGCAACCCTGAAGCGAAACGTTGCGCGTAGACCACAAACGCTGCTCAAAATGGCGGCTCTTTCAGCCAAGGGGGAGAAAAAAAGGAAGGCCTACGAAGGGGAGACATTCGGATTATGAAAGTATCTGTATTATGAAACTATCTGTCTCTTTGCCCTCCTCGATTTAAAAACGCACAGCCCTCTCTTCCCCCTTTTTCCTTTCCTCAATCCCTTCCTTCCTCGCCCGCTATGCTTACCTCGACCCTGCCGGCAGAAGACCCACGACGCACTGAGGAGGAACAAAGGCGCGGAGGGCCTTTATATAGGTGACGTCAGCGCGCTTGAACGCAGCCCGAGATGCCCGGATGGAAGTGCGAACAAAAGGGAAAGGGAGCTGAGAATTGAAAGGAGGAGTGACGTCACGCGCCGCGGGAACCAATCAAAGGGCGTTCATAGGACTCAATCTGCCCAGCAAACGTGGGCCTGCCAGGTGTTTTGGACTTCAACTCCCACAATTCCTAACAGCCTACCGGCTGTTAGGAATTGTGGGAGTTGAAGTCCAAAACACCTGGCAGGCCCACGTTTGATATATACACTATAATAATATATAGAAATAATATCATTGTAATGTAAAAATACTAATCTATATAAATAAAAATGTAATGTTCGTTTGTGGGATTCACAGAACTCAAAAACCACTGGAAGAATTGACACCAAATTTGGACACAAGACACCTAACAACCCAATGTATGTCCTTCACTCAAAAAAAATTGATTTTGTAATTTGGGAGTTGTAGTTGCTGGAATTTATAGTTCACCTGCAATCAAAGAGCATTCTGAACCCCACCAACAATGGAATTGAACCAAACTTGGCACCTAACAACCCAATGTATGTCCTTCACTCAAAAAAATTGATTTTGTAATTTGGGAGTTGTAGTTGCTGGGATTTATAGTTCACCTGCAATCAAAGAGCATTCTGAACTCCACCAGTGATGGAATTCCAATTATGGAATTGAACCAAACTTGGCACCTAACAACCCAATGTATGTCCTTCACTAAAAAAAAAAAAAATTCATTTTGTAATTTGGGAGTTGTAGTTGCTGGGATTTATAGTTCACCTGCAATCAAAGAGCATTCTGAACCCCACCAACAATGGAATTGAACCAAACTTTGGCACCTAACAACCCAATGTATGTCCTTCACAAAAAAATTGATTTTGTAATTTGGGAGTTGTAGTTGCTGGGATTTATAGTTCACCTGCAATCAAAGAACATTCTAAACCCCACCAACAATGGAATTAAACCAAACTTGGCACCTAACAACCCAATGTATGTCCTTCACTCAAAAAAATTGGTTTTGTAATTTGGGAGTTCTAATTGCTGGGATTTATATTTCACCTACAATCAAAGAGCATTCTGAACTCCACCAGTGATGGAATTCCAATTATGGAATTGAACCAAACGTGGCACACAGGACTCCCACGACCAACAGAAAATACTGGAAGGCTTTGGTGGGAATTGAGCTTGAGTTTCGGCACAGGTACTCAATATACCCCAATATGAACATAGATGGAGTTTGGGGAAAATAGACCTTGACATTTGGGAGTTGTGGTTACTAGGATTTATAGTTCACCTACAATAAAAAAAAATCAACTTATACTGGAAAAAATCAACTTATATCCCCATATCAAAAAAGGGAATTGCGAAAGACTGCTCAGACTTTTGTACAGTGGCCCTTATTTCTCATGCCAGTAAGGTAATGCTCAAGATCCTGCAAGGAAGACTCCAGCAATACAGGGAGCGAGAGTTGCCAGATGTTCAAGCTGGGTTTAGAAAAGGCAGAGGAACGAGAGACCAGATTGCCAATATCCGCTGGATAATGGAGAAAGGCAGGGAGTTTCAGAAAAACATCGATTTCTGTTTTATTGGCTATTCTAAAGCATTTGACTGTGTCAATCATAATAAATTGTGCCAAGTTCTTGGTGGTATGGGGATACCAAATCACCTCGTCCCTCTCCTGAGGAATCTGGAGTAGCAACAGTAGCAACAGTAAGAACTGACCACAGAACAACAGACTGGTTCAAGATTGGGAAAGGCGTATGGCAAGGCTGCATCCTCTCACCCAACCTTTTTAACTTGTATGCAGAACACATCATGCGAGGATGTGCGGGGCTTGAGGAATGCAAAGCTGGGGTGAAAATGGCTGGAAGAAACATTAACAACCTCAGGTATGCAGATGACACCACTCTGATGGCCGAAAGCGAGGAGGAGCTGAGGAGCCTTCTCATCAAGGTGAAAGAAGAAAGTGCAAAAGCCGGGTTGCAGCTAAACGTCAAAAAAACCAAGATTATGGCAACAAGAATGATTGACAACTGGAAAATAGAGGGAGAAAATGTGGAGGCCATGACAGACTTTGTATTTCTAGGTGCAAAGATTACTGCAGACGCAGACTGCAGCCAGGAAATCAGAAGACGTTTACTTCTTGGGAGGAGAGCAATGACCAATCTCGATAAAATAGTGAAGAGTAGAGACATCACATTGGCAACAAAGATCCATGTTAAAGCAATGGTATTCCCTGTAGTCACCTACGGATGTGAGAGCTGGACCATAAGGAAGACTGAGCGAAGGAAGAGAGATGCTTGAACTGTGGTGTTGGAGGAAAGAGTGCCTTGGACTGCGAGAAGATCCAGCCAGTCCATCCTCCAGGAAATAAAGCCCGACTGCTTACTGGAGGGAAAGATACTAGAGACAAAGTTGAAGTACTTTGGCCACATCATGAGGAGACAGCAAAGCCTAGAGAAGACAATTATGCTGGGGAAAGTGGAAGGCAAAAGGAAGAGGGGCCGACCAAGGGCAAGATGGATGGATGGCATCCTTGAAGTGACTGGACTGACCTTGAAGGAGCTGGGGCTGGTGACGACTGACAGGGAGCTCTGGCGTGGACTGGCGTCCATGAGCTCTGGCGTCCATGAGGTCATGAAGAGTCGGAGACGACTGAACGAATGAACACACACACAACACATATACATATAATATTTATAATATTATAATGTCATACAATATAATACTAGTAATAATAATTCAATATTATAATTATAATTATATTTTTACATTACATGTAGTATTACTAATAATATTACAATATAATGGTATAGTGCCATATAGTAGTATATAATACTGATATTGTACTATGCTAATAATACAATATATTGTATGAAAATATTTATTGTAAGCTGCTCTGAGTCCCCTTCAGGGTGAGAAGGACGGCACATAAATGCCGTAAATAAATAAATAAATAAATAAATAAAATCTATCTATCTAAATAAATAAATAATTAAATAAATACGTAATGTTTGTTTGTGGAATTAACAAAACTCAAAAACCACTGGGGGAATGGACACCAAATTTGGACACAAGACACCTAACAACCCAATGTATGTCCTTTACTCAAAAAAATTGATTTTGTCATTGGGAGCTGTAGTTGCTGAGATTTATAGTTCACTTGCAATCAAAGAGCATTCTGAACCCCACCAACAATGGAATTAAACCAAACTTGGCACCTAACGACCCAATGTATGTTCTTCACTCAAAAAAATTGATTTTGTAATTTGGGAGTTGTAGTTGCTGGGATTTATATTTCACCTACAATCAAAGAGCATTCTGAACTCCACCAATGATGGAATTCCAATGATGGAATTGAACCAAACGTGGCACACAGGACTCCCACGACCAACAAAAAATACTGGAAGGCTTTGGTGGGAATTGAGCTTGAGTTTTGGCGCATGTACTCAATATGCCCAAATATGAACATAGATGGAGTTTGGGGAAAATAGACCTTGACATTTGGGAGTTGAGGTTACTAGGATTTATAGTTCACCTACAATCAAAGAGCATTCTGAACCCCATGAACGAAAGAATTGGGCCAAACTTCCCACACAAAACCCCCATGACCAACAGAAAAGACTGTTTTCTGATGGTTTTGGTGACCCCTCTGACACCCCTTTATGACCTCTGCTGGGGCCCCGACCCCCAGGTTGAGAAATGCTGCCTTAAGGCCATCCAGTCCAACTCCCTTCATCAGGGCAAGAAAACATAACCAAAGCTGACAAAGATCCATCCAGCCATAGATATAGATAGATTTCACACACACACACACACATATGTATATGACAGATATAGTATAGATTTGAAAGGGAATCCCAAAGGACAGTTGTATGTTGCATGTTTCAGAGTAGGCAAACCACACAATGTCTATATCAACACTGAAAAAGAAACAAGAAGAAATACTGTTTACCCACAAGCATAAAGAAATTACAACACTTTCTCATAACTTTATTTTCCAGATGACCAGACTGGGCCACTGCAATGCGTGGCAGGGGGACAGCTAGTGTATTATACAATACCAACAGTATCATATATTGGTAGTGGATTATGTGGGCCCCCTGGTGGTGCAACAGGTGAAACCGCTGAGCTGCTGAACTTGCTGACCGAAAGGTTGGCGGTTTGAATCTGGGGAGCAGGGTGAGCTCTTGCCATTAGCCCCAGCTTCTGCCAACCTAGCAGTTCAAATACATGCAAATGTGAGTAGATCAATAGGTACCGCTTCTGCTGAAAGGTAACGGTGCTCCATGCAGTCATGCTGGCCACATGATCTTGGAGACGTCTATGGACGCCTTAGAACTGGAGATTATGTGCACCACCTCACAGAGTTGGACACGACTAGACTTAATGTCAGGGGAAACATTTACCTTTACCTAGGGTATTATATATATTGTGGTATAATAATACAGTACAATACAATGATATAATTGTATATTATATATTGCATATAATGTTACTAATAGTATTGCAGTGTAGTGGTATCTATACACATAACTGAAAGTGTATGTGTGTATTTATTTACTAGCTGTCCCCTGCCATGCGTTGCTGTGCCTCAGTCTGTTGATCTGGAAAATAAAGTAATGAGAAAGTGTTGGTTTCTAATATATGTAATGTCTTGATGCTTGTGGGTCAACAGTACTTCTTGCTGTTTCTTTGTCAGTGTTGATGTTGAGGGTGTCTGGTTTGCCTACTCTGGAATATGCAAGATATAATTGTCCATCTTTAGGGGTCCCTTTCAAATCTATGATAATACTATATCTCTCTCTGTGTGTGAATCATATATATCTATCCGGCTCTTTCTCAGAAGGGCTTTGATAATGTTTTCTTGCCCTGATGAAGGGAGTTGGATTGGATGGCCTTAAGGCAGCATTTCTCAACCTGGGGGTCGGGACCCCAGCAGAGGTCATAAAGGGGTGTCAGAGGGGTCACCATTAGCGAGGGGGCTGATCTTACCTCCATAGGAAGGGCGTTCCACAGCCGGGGGGCC